CTCTTTCCTGCTCGTTCACTCTCACTTTAACTGTCTTACTTTTCCCTGCTGGTTTTTTTTTCCCAAATGTAAGACTTAAAAGCAGCACAATATTTATTTACTTGTTTATTTTTAAATGTAATAGTTAAGTGGTTTTCTCTGCTCTTCCTGGACAGTTTACTGAACTTTCTCTGTCATTGCTGTATGTGGTTTGCATTTTCACCGTAGTTCAAACTGATCTGCATGGTGCTGGTGTAATCCTGCCCTGCCCTCTTCTCCAGGCTATGTGTTCCCACCTCTCTGACATGCTGGCACTGAAGCTCTTCTGACCCATCGAGTGACGTGATCCAGGGCCCTGGGCTGACAGTATCCAACCACACAGCTACAGCCCAATGCCCTCAGTAACTCACAGGGGCAGCTGGTGAGTGCTGCTGCTGCTGGTGGAGGGAAAGGCCACGAACATGAGCATGGTGAGAAGACGTTTTGTGGAAAGGGAGATGGGACTCAAGATGGGTTGGTGTTTTCTGGCACAGACGGCACCTGGGATTACAAGAGCCTCGTAAAATTAGCAAAGGGATTCTTCAAATTGTTTTCTGCAGGTACAGACCCAAAATAAGAAATTCAGATTGAACGTGAAGTCCGAAGTAGTGCTTGAAATCTGACTGCGTGAATCTCGTGACTGCGCCTTAATTGTAATGTTTCCTCTTCCACCCTTTTTTTTTTTGGCTGTGAGGGAGACTGGGGCAGAATCCAGATGTAAAGAAGCTACTTAAAAGTTAAACCCAATGTACATAAAATACATTTGAGACTTCATGCATAAAGGCTTAAATACAGTCACTCTGGATACATCGAGGCTGTCTGTAATGTTTACTACTGTACCAGTTACAAACTTTGGCTGTCTGTATTGTGTTTACCAGCTTGTCAGAGTATTGTGTTTTGGAATATGATCAAATGTTTCCCAAGTAACATGCTATAATGGTAATATTGAAGCAGTGATATTTTTATTTAGATCTTTAGGTGTTTGGCAGAAAAACCTGTGTTCAGATTTTGTTTTCTTCCCTTTCCTGGGATTAATTTTAGCATTTGTCAGTTTTGCTTTTTCTCAAGTCTTCACAAAATGTGTTAGCAAGGACTGTTGATTTGCAGTTAGTCACCCTTGAATAACATGGCCAGCTGCACACACTACAAGCCTAGCATAACCACTGCCTAGAAACATGATGACACCTAGAAATGTGATGACAGAAAGCTTTTTGGGGTTTGGGGGTGTGTTTTGATTGGTTGTGTATTTTTCTTTGGTGCTTGTGTTTTTGGGTTTTTTTTTTGGTTTTGGTTTTTTTTTGGGGGGGTTTCTTTTTTTTGTTTTTTTGGTTTTGTTTTTTGGTTGTTTTTTTTTTTTGCTTGTGGTTTTTTTGTTTTTTGTTTAGTAAGTTACTATTTACTGAGGTAAAGTCATACACAAAATAATTGCTGCCTAGTGGCTATGAAAATAGCTGTGAAAATGGCTGTGTGGGATCAAATCCACCTGGAGACAGTTGTCTTCTGTGTTTGTATGCTTATTGACTTCACAAAAAATTTGAAGAGGTGTAGGGGCAAGACTTCCCCTCCACATCCCCACAAGAGCTGTGCTGGCTCTTCTGCAATGTCCTCCCTCCTGACATTCTTACTATGCTTTTTTTATCCATTTGTTCAGTGTGGAGGTCGGAACCACTGGTCTGTAGCTTCACCCCAATAGAGCCCTCTACAATCTTTGCCAAGGGGCCCCATCTGCTGCTTTCTGCTGCTCTGGAGGTTAGACAGTGTTTTTAATTTTTCAGCATCTAATCTTTGTGATTTGTTACTGGTTCTTTTATGGATTTTGTTGCGTATTTTCTGTTGACACTCGAGATGTGCTTCAGTGTGTGCTGTGTAAAGAAGGCTCCTGCTATGTTTCCTTAGCAAGGACAGAAGAATCTGTGATGTTTTGCTTGCACTTAAAGCTATTCCAGCAAAAGCTGACCACTGTCACAAACCTGATGCTCATGACTAAACTGAATGATCTAAATTACTGTCAGAATTTGTAAATAGTAACTCTGAAGAGGAGGTGTGTTGGGGGTCAGTGTAGTATCAGTCATCTGCAGAACGTTTTAGGATGCAAATAGTGCAGAAGCATTTGAAATTCCTTTTTGAAGTACTTATACAGAAAACAAAGTCTGAAAACCTGTGCTTCCTTTAAGCAGTCTAATTGAAATGGAAAGAAGTTTATTGAATTGTATTTCTAGCATTTGACATGTAACTTCCCTTTAGGAACACACCACAGTGAACCTCCAGGACAATACTGACTTCGAACTACAGCTGCCTATGAATTCCTTCCTTCCTGTGTGGTGACAGTTAATCGTCGTGGGGTGAGGGGATGGCTTGTATTGTTTTTTCTCTCCACCTTCTGATTTTGATTCCTGAAAATCTGTGTTAATTTCTGGCACAACTCTGGAGTGTTGAGAAGTCCTATCACTGTCTTTCACTAAGTCAAGAGCAAACTGTAACATGAACATTACAATCAACTCTCTTACCTACAGAGAATGTATTTTCAAGCAAACATCAAGAAATCAAATGCTGTTGGTTTTGCCTGAAAAGCCGCCTCTCCCTCATCCTTTGTCTGTCTTTACCCTCCCAGAAAAGTGTTTTAGCAGCTACTATTTTATTACTAGGAATATGATAGTCCTTTATCTATTTGTTTTAATCACAAAGAAGTGTTTACCTTAGCACTGTTACATACAGTGTATTGGACAAAAAAAGCATGATTTGCTAGCTTATGGATCTAGTTCTTCATCATTTTTTTTGTTGATGCATATAAAAATACAGTTTTGATTTATTTGGATTCGTAAGTGCTTGTTAAATTAAATCCAGCTGCTTATTTTCTTGTTTGATACTCCAGCCATTTAGAGAAAATATTCTGGTTGCAGCCTTTTAAATCTAAAACTAAACCAGAAAAAAATTACTTGTGCTGAAACATAGAGGTAATTTTAGGAATTAAACAGGACTTTGTGGACATGTATCACTGGATTACCCAGTGTGCTGCTGTTCATATGTTTCTTTATCTCATTTCGGCTCTGACAGCTGAAGTTGCTGTGGGCATTTATTTACTCCAATCTGTTTTGAAATCAGTAACTTATGAATAAGGCAATACCATGCCTGTAAAGCTTAAGCAATAACTTTTGTTTTCTCCTTTTGATTTAGTGTACAGTGCATCTGAAAGTCCTAGATCAGCAAAGGGTGTCCAGTGCATTGGTGAGTTATGTGGAAGAGGGTGGATGATAGCTTTTGTGTTCTGTATAGGTGTTATTGCCATCCTTTAGAAATGCCACTTGGTAGCATTCAAAGCTGATATTTTCTTCCCCTGACCCTCCAAAGAGGAATGGGCTGGGGAGAGGTGGGGCTGCTGGACCTGTGACAGAGTACAAACTTTCTTACTGCATCTTCATTTCCAGCTTGTTGGAGAGTGATTGAGTGTGGAGAACTGAGATTAGAGGCATCCTTAACTAATTCAGATGCTGGTTTCTCTGCTGAAGCTGTTAATAGAGATGCTGATTTTTTTGTTTTGTCAGGTATAACAAAGTGCCTCAGAAATGAGACCTTTTCAGAGCTCAGTTGACGTTATTTTTTCCCACTTCATCCCTGTGACCATAGGTATACGCTTGTCCATTCTTTAAAGAACTTAATTACTCTGTGTAAAACCCCTGCTCCAATGCCTAGGATGGGCAGAA